GGGTTTTAAGCACACAGGCACATGTGCCCAGAGCGCCTCTCAAGCTGCCGAATCCAGGAGTCGAACCGTGGAGTCAGCTAGGTGGGATGCAGTCCTTAACCTCCGTGCCGCCTCATGGAGTCGGCCGTGTGGGATGCAGTCCTCACCCTCCGTGCCGCCTCATGGAGTCGGCCGTGTGGGACTCAGCCCTCACCCTCCGTGCCGCCTGCTGCCCACCCCTGTTCTCCTAGTACGATGCACCACACTGACTGACTGACTTGTTAAACAATGCCACGTCCTGGAAAAGGCAACTTGGCTATGGTGTGCAGCCTTTCTAGGCAGTCGAGAGCCACCATAGTATTTACTGAGGGGTTCTGCATCTCCACTCACAAGGGACACCTGAACGGAGTGTTCCCGTGTTGCCTCATATCGGCCTGGGGGGATGAGGGGGTTCCTGCCTACTCTCTCTCCAGAAGAGTCTCAGCATTCTGGGCACTTCCTGTACGGACTCCACCTCTTTACCCATGACAGGTCTATTCAAATGCTGGATCTCTTCTTGGATCCGATTCGATCGTTTATTTCTAGCAGCTCTCTCAGGTTTTATTTATCTGGTAATGTCTTAATTTCTCTTTTTTTTTTGAGGGATTTTTGTCACAGGGAGGGTGTACTCACCAGAGAGACAGAAAGCGAGAAACAAGCCCCCAAGGGAAACAGCCATGCTGCAATCCCTTCTCCGTTCTCCTCTCAGGATTTGGGACACACACACACACCAGGCATGAGTTTCACGACACCGGGTCTGGGACCCAAACCGTGGTTGGACACGGGGGACCCAGTGCCTTCCTCACCATGCCACCCACTGGCCCGCTCTCGTTTCTGAAGAATTTTGCTGGACACAGAATTCTCAGACGGTGTTTTCTCTTTGAGCATTTCCAAAACATCCTGCTGCTTCCAGTCTCCGTGGTTCCTGATGGGACTCGGCTGTCCATCTTGCTGAGGACCCCTTCCACGTGACGAGTCTCTCTGGCTGCTGTGAAGACGGGTCTCTGCACACTCAGCAGCGCAGTGCTGGCTGTGCTCCGGGGCCGTGCACGTGAAAGCCCCAGGGAATCTGCGTGCACACGTCCCTCGGCTCCGCGCTCTCCCTCCCGCTGTGTCCCTCGGACTGGGCTATCCTAACTAACCCAACTCCAAGCCGCTGATCTGCTCTCCCTGCTCAAACCTGCTACGGAACCCCCAGGAATTCTTTCATGTCACCCTCTGCCCTTTCCAACTCCAGAACTCTGACCTCGTTCCGTTTTGTCATTTCTACCTCTATGTAGATACTTTGCACTCTCTTTTGATTATGGAAAGAATTTCTTTATGCAGAAACTCAATCAGCTATGAAATGAATGATTATAACACTCGGCATAGCTGTCAAGACTTAATCACACATTTGAAGAAATGCAATTGTATGACCAAGCTGTAACTCACTTTAGTTCGACCGAGAAAAAAACAACCTAAGTAGGAATTAAAGAGGCAAAGTTTCCAAACTTTAATTATATAACAATCAAGGATACAATGTAATTCTCTAAACTACCAAGTTGTCATGGTAAATTTATTTTTCAGATGCATTAAAAAGAACTTTTCCAAAGCTAATCAAAGATATAAATGAATATTTTGAGTTTAGGGTCTAACAGAAAACAGAGATGTCAGAGAAGGGTTACAGATACTTTAAGAGCAGAAGAGGTCCGGCTCTCAGCCCGCGCTCTCCTTAGAGCACCAGAGCACACCCCACACACACGGCCCCTCGAGAGCCGCACTGCCATGAGGCAGCTCTGGGAGCCGGGGAAGGGAAGGCTAAGGGAGGCCAGGTCAGAGCTGTCGGGAACTGAAGCCAAGACTCAGCCCGGATCTCTGCCCTCAGGCCCAAAGCTCTCCAGCCCCACTCCCCAGAGATGGAGCAGAGGATGCGCCCCAGGAGACAGGCTGGTAAGCAGGTCATGCCCGGCGACCTCAGTACTGCGTAGGGCAGGGCCGCGGCAAGAACTCAATGCACCTCTGCCGGGGAGGGTTACGCCAAGCTCTACCGATTACGGTGCATTTCTGAGAACTCCACAAGCCGGTGGCATGGTGGTTAAGGTACTGGACTCGCACATGGCCAACCACGGTTTGAGTTTCAGACGTGACAGCCAAAGAATTAGGCTGTCTTTAAAATTAGGCTTCTCCTCCCAGGAGGAGAAGGCGCTGCAATGGGGCCATCACCTGTCCCCAATGATGCTTCTTTCTCTCCATCTCTCTCTGGCAAGTGTGCATGCCCTAAGGCAAAAACCAAAAAAATAATGCTAATAATAAAAAGGAAAGGTTGGGAAATCCTTAAAGTAACAGCCGTTAGTAAAATGAATATAATATATACATTAGTAAAATTCGTTAGTAACTTAGTAAAATGAACATTATATACATACATACACTTTCAATATACTACTTTTCAAAGCTTTTGATTTATATATATTTTTTAAAATGTTTCATTTACCAAAAGAGAGGTAAGGAAAGTAAAAGCACTTCTTACCTACATGGTCGACCTACAATCCCTACGACAGAGAAGAAAACCTTAGCCAAAACTGCCAAGCGGACTGCAAATTCCAACCTAAGCATAAATGTGCAAGAACCGCAGGAAAACCATGGGAGACTCAGAGGGCGAGGCCCCACCTCGAGCCAGGAGGAGCCACTTAGACGACGCCGGCCAGAACTCATGTGCCCGCAACCCCTCGGGTGAAGGGAGGCGCCAGAATGCTGGCGGCAGCCCAGCCGGGACTCGGGACTCGGGCCACGGAATGGGGACCTGCACTGGCCTCACGGCTCTCCTGAGTGGCACGGGTGAGAGCAAGAGCAGTGAACATGCAAGACAGCCGAGCACGTACGAGCACCTGCAAGTCAGCTCCATGGGACACACCCATCCACTCGAGAGCGGCAGAGGACACGGGTGATCGCCACACTCAGAGGCGGTCAGTAAGCAGAGTGGGTCGGTCTCACGGAGGACCGGGAACGCCAGAGCCAGGCACCGCACAGTGTCCAGGTCAGCAAGGAGTGCCCGTGAGGAGCACGCAACCTACCAGCCGGCACAGGGCCAACTGAGCGTGTGCACTGCACGCTGGGACGCCATGCGACAGTCACCTCGCAGGGCCGCTTTGGCACGTGCTCCTGGGTAAGGACACACAGCGCCTGGGCCCGGTGAGGCCCCGGGTAACACACAGCAGGGCCCGGTGAGCCCCCGGGTAACATACAGCAGGGCCCGGTGAGCCCCCGAGTAACACACAGCAGGGCCCGGTGAGCCCCCGGGTAACACATAGCAGGGCCCGGTGAGCCTCCGGGTAACACATAGCACCTGGGCCCGGTGAGCCTCCGGGTAACACAGCACCAGGGCCCGGCGAGCCTCCGGGGAACACACAGCGCCTGGGGCCGGCGAGGG